CCTCTCTCCCATTGGGGTTTCCCGCCCAGGTTCCAACGCTGAGCCTCGGAGGAAGGCCCCCGCCTCGAGCTCAGCACGAGCCGCGACGAGAGGCTTAGGCGTCCACCGCCGTGCCTGTGGCCTCACTTCCGAGGCGGAGGAGGGCCCTAGAGAAGTGGCTGTCTCTTTCAGTGCCTGCAGCACGCCGGCAGTCGTTTCCGGTTCCAGTGAGTCAGAGAGAGTGAGAGTGTGTGTGTGTTTAAGGGGCGGATTGAGGGGGGTGCTTCCTTGGTGAGGCTGTCGGGGAGCCCCGGGCAGGACGTGAACAGCAATGGCGGACGGGGGTGCGGAGCGGGCCGACGGGCGCATCGTGAAAATGGAAGTGGATTACAGCGCGACGGTGGACCAGCGCTTGCCCGAGTGCGAGCAGATGGCCCGGGTAAGTCTGCCGGCGGGCTGAGTCATGGCGCGGCCTGCGCTAGGCCTCGCTGGTCTGGCCCGGGCTCCACGGTGGGGAAGGTGGCCCTTGAAGCCCCTTGGCCCCCGGGAGACGCCGAGGGAAGGAAGGCCCGAGGGCAGCCAGAGGCAGGCTCGGCTTGTTTGTCGCGGCGAAGATACGGGGGGAAAAAGAGGCTTGGTGGCTAGGAAGCGCTGGGCGAGCCGGGCCCAGTTCCCATCTGTACCCGTCCAGGGTGGGGAGGAAAGGCCCAAGGCAGAGAGGCCTTTTTTATTTTTATTTTTTGTGAGGGGGCAGCAGGTGGGCACGTAGGATCGGCAGATGCTGGCTGGAGGAAGCCTTCGTCTGGGTGCCCTCGGAGAGTAGACTCTGGTATAAACGGGGATGAACTTTTTTCCCTGTGGTTTTTCAGGAAAAGGCCATGACTGCACTTCTATGAGGGCTGTAGGGTGGTTGTTTTCCCTTTAGTGACTTTGCGGTAGCTGCAAAGCCCTTGTTCTTAAAAGAGAACTACAGTATTGGATGGAGTAGTAACAATGGAGAGAGGAAGATCACTTTTCATATACAGTACAAAACTGCCCACCAGGAGCAGTGCTAATAATTTTCTCCCCCTTTACTGTGAGGAGTGCCTTTTGGGTTTCTTTGTGCAGTGGCCTCAGCTGGCTTTTAATGCCAGTGAAAATTAAAAATGGAAGCAGAAGAAAGATAATCTTGCTTGCAGTGTCTGGTATTGTCATCACTGCAGCCCTTACTATGGAAAGTGCATTCCTTTGTGTTATCTTTGTGTATTTTATTTAGAAGGCTATATTCCTAGTGTGTTTCAGATTACTGAGAAGTGTTGTAGTAATCTCAGATTCTGAGACATAGCCCTTTATTGCAAAATGCATGAATTTGCACCCCAAAGTATTTGTGTTGAGAAAATATACTTATGGATAGTGATCTAAAGCTGAATATGTCTCACAGTGCACATTTCTGGTGAAGCTACAGTTCTTTTTGTAGAGAGATTGTTATCTCCTTCAGAATTTGCATCTCAGTTTCTGGATGGAGGAAAGAAATCAGGTTGTTTTCTGATTCTTTATTTAAATGTTTTGTGCCCCACTATTTAATAACAGATCCAGCGCTCTGAAGCAGTTTACAGCAGTTTTAATTAAAAGACAACAGAAGAACAATGACTGCATTTAGTAAATGAGTTAAAGGGAACAAGAGTAATAACAGAAGCCACAATACCAGGAGAGAAGAGGCTTCTTGTATATTAAAGATATAGCAAATTCTTTGTGTCATAAGCTTTTGTGGAGTACAGTTCATTGTAGCAGGTCCATGAAATGTGCTGGATAGCTGAGTGGTTTAGGCATTTGGCTGCAAAGTCAGAGTCTGAGAGTTTGATTCCCCATTATGCCTGCTTGACAAGCTGGACTGAAGTGATGTTCAGGGGTCCCTTGCAGTTTTAAGATGACAACGACAATTATAAACATCTATATATGTGTGAGAGTGGGTCGATAAGACTGTTAACAATAATGTTAGAGGATAGTGAATGCAGAGAGAATAGAAATAGCCAAGATCCAGTGGGATGGTTCCATGAGTAGAACTGTTTCCATCTGTTGATCTAAGACTAGAATGATCTCCCCCCCCCCCAAAGGTTTTCATGCATCTCTAGCATTGGTTCTGCAGAGCTGGCAAGCCTTATATAGATAATTTTTGGCTGATATGGAGGACTGCAGGATGAATGCTGAGGAAGAAAGTTTGGGATGTAAATATATATTATAAATAAATACTGTGTGCAGACTCTTGGTAAGTGATAAAACTCACAATGTATTGGTGAGCTACTTTATACAGTACATGAAAAGGAAACAGTAGATCTTGTAGATGAACTATGATTCAGATGGCTGACAAAGATATATGTCTATTGAGTAATTGCCAATCAGTCAATGATCAGTTAGTCAATCAACAGAATAAGTAGAGTAATGCAAGGCAAAGACCTTGTAAAATGAAAATGCCTTCATTGCCCACTGAAGAACAAGCATAGGGAAACAAATTCATATGAAATGTGTTAAAATCAAACAAATTATTGAAAATAGAGCCTTTTTATAATACTTTATACATTGAGGATTTTTGAGTTTATTTCAGAAGTGCTTATTAAGAAATTCTATGTAAAAAGAAGGCTACGGATTTTAATAAAGATTTAAATTAACAAAAAACATGACTATTGATGAGCATATGATTTGGCTTTTATTTTTCAAAATGACTGCCTCTTTTTTAACTAGAAAAAATGTTCTGCGGATAAATATATTTGTTAAGAGATTTGAGATACTTGGTTTACATTTTCCTGACGTCTACACATCCATAATGAAGATGCCTCCCTGAAATCCATGACATCAGTACTGATGCTGTTAACCATAACCAAAGCAAATTGAAACTGAGCAAGTTCTTGTGTTCATAGCTTACTGTTTTCAGTGGGGTATAGCAAGAATTGGTTAATTGTATTTTGCTGTTATTTTCAAATCAGAATGTAGGTTGTTAACCACTAAAGCAAAGCTGACATACTTGAATTAGCACTGTTGAATGTCATGTTGCTTGTTGCATATTGGAAACTTGTAATGAAAAAACACTTGGTTTTTCTTCCTTTTAACAGTATGGCTTGCATTTTAGGATGGAAGGCTCCAAGAAGCAGTTGAAACCTTGCTGTCCTTGGAAAAACAGACTCGTACTGTAAGTACAATATTGTTGAATAACTGTTTTGTTTTAAATACAAAATAACTGTTATTTTTTGTTTTAAATACTTTGTTTTAAGTACAAAAATGGTACTTCTGTATTTAGTGGGAACCCCCTAAGCTGCACTGTAGCTTGCCGACAAAGGTCTGCATAGTCAAAGTTATGGTTTTTCCAGTAGTGATGTATAGAAGTGAGAGCTGGACCATAAAGAAGGCTGACTGCCAAAGAATTGATGTTTTTGAATTGTGGTGCTGGAGGAGACTCTTGAGAGTCCCCTGGACTGCAAGGAGATCAAACCTATCCATTCTGAGGGAAATCAAGCCTGAGTGCTCACTGGAAGGACAGATCCTGAAGCTGAGGCTCCAATACTTTGGCCATCTCATGAGAAGAGAAGACACCCTGGAAAATACCCTGATGTTGGGAAAGAGTGAAGGCAAGAGGAGAAGGGGACGACAGAGGACAAGATGGCTGGACAGTGTCATCGAAACGACCAACATGAATTTGACAAAACTCCGGGAGGCAGTGGAAGACAGGAGGGCCTGGCGTGCTCTGGTCCATGGGGTCACGAAGAGTCAGACATGACTTAACGGCTAAACAACAACAAGAAGCTGCACTGTAGAATGCAGACCTCAAATAGTAGAAGATAGAATAGTTCCTTATTTTCAGCTATTCCTTTGGTAGGCAGAGAGAAAGGCAATCTGCTGAGCTTTAGGAATCTTGAAATTCCCTTGAGCAAGGGTGTGTGTCTGGGAGACCAAATTCAAACAGAGACCGCCTCTGTAGTAGGCATCCTTCAGTCTCAAGAGAGTGTGGTAATGTGCTCTGAATAGAGGTCTTGGAACAACATCTAGTGTGGCTGAGAAGGCCAATTCGAGAGTGATAATCCCTTCCACACTGAAGACGAATATAGTCTGTCCCATGTCCAACTCCCTGATTTTGCTGGCTTTGGGACTGCTTCTTTGCCTCGGCCTGCTGAACAAGTGCCTCTTCAAATTGGGAGAGGCCATGCTGCACCGCCTGTCTCCAGGCTGAACGCTCAGATGTCAAAGTTTCCCATCTGTTGAGGTCCACTCCTAAGGCCTTCAGATCCCACTTGCAGATGCCCTTGTATCACAGCTGTGGTCTTGCTCTGGGCCGCTTTCTCTCCACTAATTACTCATACAGGAGATCTTTTGGACCGCCTCTGTAGACAGTATATGAAGGCAGACTTTTTCAGAAATCACTCTCCTAAAGAAACATATTTTATTCAGGAGTTGTGAAGTTCCTTGGCTTGTGTACATACTTCAAGGAGAATTCTAAGCCTTAACTGCTGTTCTTATTTCCAAGAATACTTCTGGATCTCATGTGGCCCCCAGAGACTTTCCTTAAAATACAAACAAGCTGTTGCAACCCAGCACGCTTATGGCCAGAAGAAAGATACTGGGGTATGAAGTATCAACAAGAGCAAGAGGGGGTAGTGAGGAACAAGGAGGGATGCTTCATTTGCATTTTCTGTGTAGTGGTGTAGTATGCATCTTAACATGGCTTGCCTGTTTCGCCTGTCTAAATGTTTTCCTGTTTGGGGTGGAATAACGTATATGTTTTGCTTGGTGTGTGTGTGCTTTGTGGGGACAGATGTCTTGCCTGTGGTTATATGTTGAGAAAGGTGTTACTTTAGTCTGCTTCCTCATGCCTAATATGTAATTTCTCTTCTTGAGGCTTAGCCCCCCCCCTCTGTTTCTATAAATTTCACATGCCACATTATTTGTCTCTGAACGTTATCTCTTTCGAAATGGATGCTGTCGGACTAAATGGGATTTTCAAAAGTGATTTCGTGTTTAGGGTTCAGACTCTTCTACTTAGTGTCTTGACCAAATTAACTTTCATATGAAACATCATCACTTTTTCTTCTGAGACATGAATGGCTCTAACTAGAGATGGGGGTATTCATATTCAAATACGAATACCCTGCACAGGTGGACATAACAAGGGTGTAGCTCCTTGGGCTGGACTGTCCATAGGTGGACATAACAAGGGTCTAGCCCCCTTGGGCTGGACTGTCCACTCATCTTTTGCTGTTGCTGTGGGCTCTGCGCTACCTTCCTATAGCTCTGGAGCTTGCGGTCTGCGAGCTACTCCAGGCAGGAGGAGGGAGGATGAGCCTCGCCTCAAGGTCAAAAGAGTGGCTCGCAGAGCTCAAGCTCTGGAGCAATAGGGAGTGTGAAGCCTGCGGCAACAGCGGAAGGTGAGTGGACGGTCTGGACCCTCATTATGTCCACCTGCGTCGCGGACATAATGTATGACCTGTTTGTGACCTCATACCATTGCTGCTGTTTTATGGGACCGCTCTCTATAGTATGTTTTTTGAAAGTGGTAACACCATACAATCAGATTTCTAATGTTTGCAGTGGCCCAGAAGGGTTAGGCACTCAGGTTGAAGGTTCACAAGTACAGTAGAACTCATAATTGTATTGTGGTTGTCAACAGTCTTTGCCAAAAGTAAGATGATGTGGGTGATAGGGGAAGAGAAAGGGATTTATTTTATTGTGTTACTTACTGCCACAGTAGTTCTGTCACAGATAGACTTCATAGGAGTATGTAGCAGAACAATGAATTTAATTTGGGTCTTGGCTTTATGTAACCCAAGTTGCTCCTACTGTATACCTTATGTCACCTGGAAAGGGGAACACTGTATGAAGAGGGTGAATCTTAAGTAGTGCTTTGTTGGAAACATCTGAAATGGTTTTTGAATTTTAGAAACAGTATTTCTATGCTTGGCTTGTAATTATACAAAATTTATTTTTTAGGCCTCTGATATGGTATCAACATCTCGCATTTTGGTTGCTGTAGTGAAAATGTGTTACGATGCCAAAGACTGGGATGCTCTCAATGAAAATATTATTCTTCTGTCAAAGAGGAGAAGTCAGTTAAAACAGGTGAGATTATACTAAGCAAGGAATGTGAACACAAAAATGGAGAAGAACTGCATATTTTCTGTATGGAGGCATGAGGCCCCATATTCTGTGTAAACTTTGGGCACTGGGGGATTTGGAGGTAAGCCATAAAGGGCTGCATTTTGCCCATTGTTATATATATTATTTTCCACTTGATTGAATGGAAGTGCTTCACTATTAGTTGTCCGGTGGTCTTATTTACGTACCCAGATTCTTAATTTTTCATTGTTTTGTTGTGTTTTAAAGTGAGAGTGGGAAGAAAATTTATTATCTTATTTATTTTATTTATTTTATTTACAAGATTTTTTAGCTGTGCCATTACCAGTGGTCTCTGAATGGTGTACAACAATATTAAAACTTTAAAAACATTAAAACCATTAAAAATAGGCAATATTTTAATAATATCCTATATTAAAAACGATCATTAAAACATTAATATTAATAAATCCTGCTGCTCATATGGCCAGTTAAAGAATACTGTTTAATTAAAATGCTGGCTAAACAGAAAGGTCTTTGCCTGGCGCCAAAAAGCCAAAAGTGTTGGAGCCAGGCAGATCTCTATAGGGAGGGCATTCCAAAGTTGGGGGGCAACAGCCGAGAAGGCCCTATTTTGACATACCATCCGCGTCTTGGGGGGCAACGATGGCATCTTCAAAAGGGCCTCCTGGTCTGAACTTAAGAGGATAGGCAGGCTCGTATGGAAGACTGTCTGTAGAACTCATAATTGAGTTCTACATTAAGTTAGTAGGAAATAGGAATGCGCATGTGTGTCAAGTCACACACATGTTGCAAGACTTTTGGAACAGAATCAAATGAAGGATTGTTATCTTTCTCTGTTTCCTTGGTATAATTCTCGTATGTTGAATATTTGAAACTTGCTAATAAAAAATCATGTGCTGCATAAAATGGGGGCTTAAAAAAACAACCAAAACTGATGTATGGCAAATTATGTTGTAACACCTAAACTGCTCTTTTAACTCATGCATGATCTGAAAAATAAGTGTATATTAAGAAAAATTATGTCAGTTGCTGCTAAATACCACCAAAATTTCTTGTTTTAAATTTTAAAAATTTTGAAGTTTTAATTTTAAAAGTCATATATTTTGATGATTTAAATAAAAAATGAAATTGTTGAAATCTAAATCATTATCTAAATCAATTTGATTTTTTAAAGAAATCATTGATTTTTATCTACCCTGATACCCACCAAATCTTGTTTTGATCAACCACCATTCAGAAAAGAAACTTGGCCTTAGATTCCACTTACCATAAGAACCTGTTTGAGGTACCAGACTCGACAGAGGCCATTCTCTACTATGAGAACCTGATGGCAGCAGTAAACAGTACTCTACGCCAGCAGTTTTAACCTGGGGGGGGGGGGGCTTATAACAATCCCAAACTTAAACCAAACTCTGGGTTTGACAGAGATTGCTTCTTCCTGAAAAATCAGATATGGGCTTTGCATCAATCTTATCGGACCAACCGGTTAGAGTCCCTCCCAAGCGAAAATGCCAAATTAAAAAAGCACTATAAACTTGTAATAGCTCAAAAGAAGCAAAAACTGCAAATGGAAAGGTGAGAATTAATGATACGTACTGCCCGTTTAACGATAGCAAAAAATTCTAGTTGTTGGTTAGGGGTGCCCTAAATAGCAGGGTGGGATTCCCAGGTCTCTGCACATGTTTGGGTCATTTTACCAATATATTTTTCAACCCTCTAGCCTCTGACTTAGGTCCCATACAACTTATCCCACCTAACTTACCAGAATGGGACCCAGTAGACATCATGGGAATTAAAGCTTTAATCACCAACTTAAAACGAAAAGGCTGCTGGCCCTGATGGGATCCCGCCTAAAACCTTTTAAAAGTGCCTGGACTGGTGATCCTCACCCTTGGCCACTCTCTTTACACTAATAGATCAGACTAGAAGGGTACCTTCAGCATGGATTAAAGCAATCATAGTACCTATTTTTAAAAAAGGAGACCCATACGTCCCAGGAAATTACCGTCCAATTAGTCTGCTGTTCATCCTGGGGAAATTACGCAAGGAGACAAATTGTCAGTCTGGATGGACAGTCAAAAGATCCTGGGACCGGAACAGATTGGCTTTTGTAAAAACAGACACACATTAGATCACTGTGTGGTATTAGCACATCTGGCAGAGAAGTATAACGCCATGGGTAGGAGAAGACTGCAGTTTTCTTTGACCTGAAAGGGGCTATTGATTCAATTCCAAGGAAATTACTGTGGGTCAAACTGGAAAAGTCCTCAATAGATAGGAGACTCCAAAAGTTATACCTACATACAAGCTGTCAGGTCCATTATGGTCCTGCAGGTGAACTATCGGATGGGATCCCGAGTAACAAGGGGGTTAGGCAGGGATGTATCTTGCCCCCCTATCTATTCATTAATGATTTGGATGGCTCCTTGAAACAAGCTGAGGTCCACCCCCCAAGCTTGGCTTCTAGCAAATTCCATTACTGCTATATGCAGGTACTGCTGCAATCCTATCTTTAATTCAACTGGGACTAAAGAGGTTCTTAGCTGCCTTTGCTACCTACTGTGCTAACTGTCTGTCCATCAATGCCCAAAAGTTCTCACCCAGAAGCTACACTACATAGAAAAGCAGGAACTCTTTTCCCAGGCAAACAGAACATGCTCCCCTTTCTCACATGGTGTTCTTCCACCATATAGGACCCCTGCAGCCTACCTAACCTTGCTCTGCTCACCATAGGCCTGCAGATTCATGCTGGCCAGACTGAATATGCTCCCCTCAGCCCTTCTTCAGGGCAGACTTAAGGGAATCCTTCGCCAAGAAAGATTCTGCCTGTGTGGAAAAGGGTTCCCTGAATTTCTTGTTGCATACACTTTTATATTGCCCATTTTATGAACAAATCAGGAATAAACTAATCTGCCCATTGCTGAACAAGTTCCAAGGCTACCCTTCCAGTTGGTTAGTAAAATACTGCCTACTAGACCATAACCCTTATAGCACAGCACAGGTAGCAAAGTTTTTCCCAGCTGCAGTGTGTAAGAGGGCAGAGTTTGTCCTGATTACCAAATCTCTCAACGCACCTATCTCCCCATACTCCCTCTTATTGTTTTTATTGTACACTTTTTTTTCTGTATGGGTAATATGACTACAATAAACTCATTTGTATTTGTATTTTGTAAACAACAACTACTACTACAACAGCTAGTTAAGTAATTAACATGTTGGCAGTGCCTGCTTAGGAAGATTCTTATGTTAAGGAACCTTTGTCACTTTTGTGTATTATCTGTCTCTGTGCCTGGCCAAGCATAAAGCTACCAGTCACATATTTGCTCTAAGGATGTGCCTAAGGATGTGGACTTTGATCCATGAGAACTCACATTAAAGCAAAATTATTTGTCTGTAAAATGCTACAATATTTTTTATTTTTCTTCCCACCACCACCTACTCAGCTAGAGTATGATGGTATATTTAAAGTAAATTACAGGAAAGTGTAGAAAATTGTTAGTAATTTGCTGTGTTAAGTTGCGATACGTGACTACTTCTGGCTTTATTTTAAAAAAAAAAGGAGTACCAGACTTCCTGAGACTCTTGAAACTTTTCTTATTTGTTTTGTTGTTCAGTTGTTAACATTCTAGTCTGAAAGGTCTTTGACTGTTTTGTTTGCGGAGATGTTGTCTAGTTTCAGGTAGTGAAGATACTGAATCTGGGCTACTGGTGTAGTAACTGTGGGTGACAGCAGGGGTCAGACCACAGGTATATAAAGCCTGTGTTGCAAATGGTATTTAATATTTGCAAAGTTATAGGATTGAAGCTCTCATTTTTTAAATAGTCCCCAGTTAGCAAGAGAAAAATTGTTGTCTTCCCATGTTGCAACTATCATAGATGAGAGGATACAGCAAATGGAGGATACTGGATGTCAGACAAAATTTTAATTTGGAGGAAATTGTGTAATACGAAGAATTTTGAAAGTTTTAAAAATTTATTTTCTAATATGTAGGACTTTATCTGTCATTTTGATACTGCTCTTTAAACAGATGGATTCATGTACAGGTAAAGGAAATTATAAAGTTTAAAGAGATTAGATATCAAGGATGGTATGTAAAATGTGCTCTGTATAAATCAGAAGCTTTAAGCTGCTTTTATGGTTAGTTCATTACAGTTTGACACTTTAATGGTAAAATTGAAGAGACAATTAATTGGCAGAATCACTACCTGAGCTGCTGGAGAAATGAGGCAGAAAAGGAGGAAGTCATCAGGCACATTGTAGGTGCTGTCTTCTTCCTGTGAGCAATATGGAGACATGTTACACCATGCAGTTAGGTTCAGGGCAGTAATGCCACCTGTGGAAGATATTGTTGCTTGATGAAAAACCTTTTTTCTATTCTTATAACCTTAAAAATATCTATTTTAGTTCCCCTGCAAAAAAACACTAGCATATAATTATACTCATAGCATATCAGAAAAGTAATTCTTCATGGAAAGGCCATTCTTATATACTATGTATAATGATATTAAGCTGTTTAAAATCTAGTGAATTGTCTCCTTTCACATAGTGCTTTGTGTTTCTAGATAAATTTTTATTTTACAAAATTGTTGACGAAAACTATTGCAGGAAAGCATATCAGCTACAATTTTTTTTGTTTACCATCCGGCGGATCAATGTGTTTTGTGTGACGAAGTAGAAAAGCAAGTAAATGAGTACTTCAGATAAATCAATTTCCCACTGCTTTTTGTTTGCAAAGATTATCTGTTCTGACAGATACCAGGTTTTGAATGATGGATACTTTTTTGAATCAAAGGCACTCTTATTGCAATATTTGGATAAGTGGGAGTGCTATTTTGCATGTTACAGTTTTTCTTTTTATTCATATCAGGCAGTTGCTAAAATGGTCCAGCAGTGCTGCTCTTACGTTGATGAGATCACAGATTTACCAATCAAATTACGGTTAATTGACACATTACGCATGGTCACTGAAGGAAAGGTAAGGTATTGTTTCTTATCAAGGACTTTGTACTAATTGATATTTGTGTAAACAACTCACAGGTTTCCAGTTGTGTCAGTTCATGCTTATTGTTAAAATATTCCGAGCTTTTGAAGGCAGTATCCCGCACCATAGAAAGCTTGGATTGTTTTCTAGTTCATATCAAAGCATACCCATTGAAACAGTTGCTGAATGCTAAGGAAATCCTTCGAAAATTCTGCTGATTTAGTGGGTCTAACCTAGTTAGTCAAGCAGTTGGATTTATATCAGGCCGTGATTCATTTAATGAAATCAAAATGTTAGGGCAAAAATGAAAAATTTAACATAGCACAGTGAAACCTAAATGGAGCTAAACACAACAGCTTGGGATATATAAGCTGAATTAATATAATGGGTTCTTAATTCTCAATAGTTGGCTGTAACTACTGTATTGGCAGATACAGGCCTTTCATGTGTTGGGTGTGAGATCATTTGATTAGAACTCTTAATTCCCAACCCACTCCTGCATGAGACCACTATAGGAAGTAAGGTTGGCATACCTCCCATATCCTTTGTCCAGGCATCTAGGTCTGTTTTGTCAAGCAACATGAGTCTCTGATTTCCTTTAACAGTTTGGCAATTTAGACTGCATACTTACACCAGTGCACTCTTACTCTATGCAGAGAAAGAGCATGACCTTTCATTGTGATATCACTTGCAGTGGCTGTGTGCCCAGCAACTTTTTAAAAATTCTAAATCTTTCTGGTTTTAGATTTACGTTGAAATTGAAAGGGCTCGGCTGACGAATACTCTTGCAACAATAAAAGAACAGAGTGGAGACGTAAAAGAAGCTGCTGCAATTCTGCAAGAACTTCAGGTACTACACCGGCAGTACTTGTTTCAATGTGAATAACTGTAGTACCATTTAGACTCTTTTAAGAAAATTGTTCTGGTTATTGACTAGTTGTTTTCATGTGAAGAAGAAAATTATGCAATCCCTAGAGCAGTCATTATGTTTCATTATATTATGCTGTGTATCAGAATTGATTGTACATATTAGCTTCTGCTACTTAGCTTGTGCTATAATGCTTATTGTTGTTGTTGTTGTTTAGTCGTTAGGTCGTGTCCGACTCTTCATGACTCCATGGACCAGAGCATGCCAGGCCCTCCTGTCTATTATAATTATATTTTCATGACATTCTATAATATATTTTTGAGTAGCTGCCCTAAACTGAATTCTTGAAAGAGCTGGGTAAAACCTCTGAAGCTATGTTGTACAGACTTGAATCATGAATGCAGAATGAACCTGAAACGTGGATTGTCTCCTTACACTAAATTGTGTAATATACTTCAATGTTTTGAACTGTTACTGCAGCTATTAAAATTTCCTAGATTGCTTAGATTTAACATACTTGAAATATAGATATATAATATTTAAATTTAATCTTTACGGAAATATTAGTGGCTACAGTCCTTAAATGTTCCATATCACAATATATAACGTATTAAATATATTCTGGGATTTAGGTGGAAACATATGGATCAATGGAAAAGAAGGAACGTGTGGAATTCATCTTGGAACAGATGAGGCTTTGTTTGGCTGTTAAGGACTACATTCGAACACAAATTATTAGCAAAAAAATTAACACGAAATTTTTCCAGGAAGAAAACACAGAAGTAAGTCTGGTAATTTTATTCTGTCTTGGATATAGATACAGCGGGGTCTCGACTTACGAACTCCTCGACATTCAGACGTTTCGACTTACGAACTACTTTCATAGGAATATATGGACTCGACTTACGAACTTAGATTCGAGTTACGAACTCTTTTTTCCTTTTTTAAAAAGCTAAGTCATCTTAGGTTAAAAGGAAAAAAGAAAAAAAATCCCCCTCTAGTGGCAGAAGGCGGAATAGCAGCTTCCCATTAGTTTCTATGGACGAAAAGAGCAGATACGGATTAAATGGTTTTCAATGCATTCCTATGGGAAATGCAGATTCGACTTAAGAACTTTTCGACCTGAGAACTGCCTTCCAATACGGATTAAGTTCGTAAGTCGAGACCCCACTGTACATAGTTTTAAATAGATTTCTCAATAGTATTGGCGAAAGTGTAGAATGTACACCTTTAGTATTTCTGCAATAACCTGTAATTATTTGATATTTCAGAAATTAAAATTGAAATACTATAATTTAATGATCCAGCTGGATCAACATGAAGGTTCCTACCTATCCATCTGTAAGCACTACAGAGCTATTTATGATACACCTTGCATCCAGGCTGAAAGTGAAAAATGGCAACAGGTAAAAAAAAGAAGTAAATGTTCTATCATCTCTAAAGAATTGTCTATAAATTAAATAATATGTCAAAATAGTTGTAGATAACTATTTGGACCAGGGCAACTTATCTCTTATGGTTATATATACATACAGTGGTGCCTCGCATAGCGACGATAATTGGTGCAGCAAAAATCACTGCAAAGCGATTTCGTCACTATGCGATATTAAAAAGCCCATAGGAATGCATTGAAACCCCTTCAATGCGTTCCTATGGGCTTCAGACTCACCTTAAAGCGAAAATCCTCCATACGGCGGCCATTTTCGCTGCCCGGTAAGCGAGGAATCCGTCCCAAACAGCGGGTGGCCATTTTTTTTTACCCGGCGGCCATTTTGGAACCGCCGATCAGCTGTTAAAAAATCATCACTTTGCGATGATCGGTAAGCAAAACAGGGTGCCGATCATTGCAAAGCGATTTTTCCCCATTTAAAACATCGCAATGTGATCGCAAAATCTTCATCGCTATGTGATTTCGTCGTTAAACGAGGTGCCCGTTAAGCGAGGCACCACTGTATATATATTTAGAAGAACGATAGTTAAATGCTGTCCCTTTCCCACTATAGTGAAGGTTTGAGTAAAATAATTTTGCCACATAGATTTAGGTTGGAGGCCCTTTAGAGCAGATTCTATGCAAGTGTGTAATGCTTCTGGTAGGGAGAAGTCAGTTCTGTCAGATGAATAGAAGTGTGCTCACACAAGTAATTAGAATTTTCCTTTTAGTGTTTCTGTTCATTTCATAAAAGTGGATTATATGGGGCTGTTGGGTCTCTTTCAGTCTTCTTCTCTTTTGAGATATATTTACAGTTCCCATTACAAGAGCAGGAATTAATAGGTGCAGTTTTCTGTTCCAAATGGCATTTTGTAGCATTGTTCACCTTATTGCAGTCATCTGTCCTGTTGCTTCCCTTTAAAGTTAAGTTTCTTTCTTTCTCTGAAACAGGCACTCAAGAGTGTTGTTCTTTACGTTATCCTTTCACCTTATGACAATGAACAGTCTGACCTGGTGCATAGAATAAGCAGTGACAAAAAATTAGAAGACATTCCTAAGTATAAGTATGTAGCTTTTCTGATATAAGAATGTAGTATTATTAGGCGTCATGCTAATGTACAGTGAAGCCTATTCTGTGATGTTGAAAACTGGAAACCTAAGAGTTGCTAAAAATATTGTTATAAACCAAACCTGAATCCTTGATATGTTCTCTAGTAAATGTCTGCACATATCAGTGCACCAGGTGCTGAATTAGTGTAATCCTTTTTCTGAAATATGTCTCCTTTTTTTTTAATGGTAATGAAAAACTGTTGCATTGATATGCTGAATTTTTAAAAGGCAAGCAAACTATCATAAGGCAGCGGTTCCCAACCTTTTAAACTCCACGGACCGGTTGCAGAAGGCGGGGCACCCTCCGCACTCACGTGCATGTGCAAAGGAGCGGGTGTGTGCACTCAAGTGCATGCACTCATGCAAAGGTGGGGGCATCAGAGGACACTCATGCACACTCGCATAGGGGTGGGGGTGCTTGCGCTTGCACACTCACATGCGCAAAGGAGCTGTGCGGGGGGGGCGGGAGTGCATGGAGCGGGTGCTGGGAGATCTTTCTCCGTGACCCTGTCCTGCCCAGGCCAGAAGACAGCACCGGGCCATGGACCAGGGGTTGGGAATCCGTCATAAGGTACAGAAGATTTTGTCAGTACTTTACAAAAGCTTTCTTTTTTTTAATGCCAGGGATCTTTTAAAATTATTTACTACCATGGAACTGATGCGTTGGACTACCTTAGTTGAGGAATATGGGAAAGAACTGAGGGAAGGTTCTCTAGAAAGTCCTGCAACAGATGTTTTTGGATATACAGAAGAAGGTGAAAAAAGATGGAAAGATTTAAAAAACAGAGTAGTGGAACATGTAAGTAGAATCTGTTTTCTAACCCTTAATTAAAACTGAGCAATGCTGTTGGTGGCTTTTTTGGGGTCCATTTTATAAAATTGTGTTCTATACAGCAGTTGTCCCCAACCTTTTTGCCTCAACGGACTGGTTTATCATGCGTGCGGGGGCGTCTGTGCGTGCGTCTGTGCGAACGTGGGAGGGGTGTGTGTGTGTTGGAGGGGCGTGAGTGCGTGCACATGGGGGCCCCCAGGAGATTTGTCTCCATGGACTGCAGGTTGGGGATCCCTACTACTGTATACAGAAAATGGAAGTGTTCAGATTGTTTGATGAAATTGTATCTTGAAAAAGACTTTTCTAATGTGTAGATTGGACACCTGTTCAAGTCAGCATACAAAGAGCAAACTGTAAGAAAAACAAGAGGAGGACTCATTTTAACCCATAATCCCTCTTGCAGTATTCTACATAAAATGTATGTTAAGAGAGCTGTGTTGCACTGAAGATTCAGACAGAAAGGGTGTTTTCTGTGAAATAATGTTTACTCTTCCATTATACAGTAGTTTGTTGTGAGTTAGCTGAAAATCACATAATGCTATGGCTAAAAAATTGCCAGATTTACCCTAGGGAAGCCTACTTTGACTGATTCCCTTGCAGCAGTCCTAGTTATGCCTTCACATTAATCTATTATTTTATATTTTAATATTTTAGAATATCAGAATAATGGCAAAATATTATACCAGAATTACAATGAAGAGAATGGCACAACTCTTGGATTTGTCAGTTGATGTAAGTGATACCCAATGTTCAGTGCTTTTGTATGGGAGGGAAAGTACAGCATAGCTGAAAATGAGGGACAGAGTCCTACTGCTTATTATTGTACATGAAAGAGACAAGAAGCTGCAGTGGTTAATTGATGCAGGGCTGGCTGCATGTTGGATCCCATGCCTGGCAGGTGATTGGCCCCTTATCAATTAGCTACTGGGCCTTCTGCAGTTTCACGTGCATTAAAAAAAATAATATAGGATTCTGGTCAATGAGTCCAGCATAGTGATTTTGCTGTGCTTTGGCCTAGCATGGAATTATGTACGGTAGCACTAAACCTTAGGCTGCAGTCCTGCAGATGCTCTAGAAGTAAGTAAGCATCATTGAACTTGGTTAGATATTCTCTGAGTAGACATACTTGGGATTATGCTGTAAATCAGTGGTTCTTAACCTTTGTTACTCAGATGCTTTTGAACTGCAACTCCCAGAAACCCCAGTCAGCACAGTTGGTGGTGAAGGCTTCTGGGAGTTGCAGTCCAAAACTCCTGAGTAACCCAAGGTTAAGAACCAGTGCTGTAAATGACCTGTTGATAAATGTTTCCCTATGAAATTTTTGTTCAAGGCTTACTATTTTATTTTTAATACTTTTACGTATTACTTTTTAATAAAAGATTTCTGATGCAGTCATCATAACATAGATAATACAGAAACTATGCAGTGTAGAAACCATACTAAGCATGTAATTGCAGTCATGGCCTTGTAGTTATGACTGCCTTTGGGGAGGGGAACCTGTTTTGTAAGCTTATCAAAGGGGAAAGGGAGTGTGCCAGGTTCTACTTTGCTCTCTAGATATGTCTTGAGCACCTTTAAGGAGTAGCATCCAACACATATGTACACACTCAGCCTTTCCTGATGGTAGGGCTTGTCAGAAGCTAACTCATTGGATGTCTCAAGATGCACTGAGTATCTTTAGGCCATATTATATACTTTGCACTCCTTCTTTCCTTCCTTTAGGAGTCCTTCCAACTCCTTGACCACACAGCAATCAAACAACCCCCCTCCCAGATTCAAAACTAGGAGAGGGGGTAATTTGGGACAGTCAGTGACCACATCTGTACTAGCTGAGTTGTTTGTCACATTTGTCAATTTGTTTATCTGTTCACAGACAGGATACACTTCTAATGTTGATGCACTAATCTCATACAATCATACAGTCTTTGAGTTCACTAGATTTTTAGTCTGCTTCAAGATCCACAGTTGCTGCTTGCACTGTTTGTTAACCTCTTCCCCCAACTCTTACTTTTATCTACCCTTATCTGTTTCTCCCCTTGTAAGTACAGTGGTGCCCCGCTTGACGATGATAATCCGTTCCAGCAAAATCGCTGTAGAACAAAATTGTCGTCAAGCGGGGAAAAACCCATTGAAACACATTAAAAACCGGTTAATGCGTTCCAATGGGCAAAATACCTCATCGTCCAGTGAAGATCATCCATAGGGGGGCCATTTTCTGGTGCCTGTAAAGTGAAAAATCAGTCCTGAAAACCAGGGGGGAGCCATTTTGCAACAGTGGGTGGCCATTTTGAAACCCAACGATCAGCTGTTTTTAGATCGTCGTAAAGCTAAAAATCGGTTCCCGAAGCAGGGAACTGATCATCATAAAGCGTTTTTTCCTATTTAAACATCATTTTGCGATTGCAAAAGTGATCGCAAAAACATCATCTTGAAGCGGGGTAATCGTTAAGCGGTGCACCACTGTATCCCAAAATGTGGAGTTTTAGTCTGTAGGAAAGTTCTGCTTTGTTTATGTAGAGGTATTTAATTGAACCTGCTTTGCACATTTATTCCTTTCATAGTTGTCTCAGAAGAAGTTATTTGGAATTGCATGCTCTGTAAGTTCTTCCCTAATAGTTCTGCTGAGAGATTGGGTGGGTTTCAGTTACGTTTTCAATTTCTGTCTTCAAAGGTTACATTGTTTACCTGATGGCTGAAATCCTGTTGTGCAGTTATGCAAACAACCTAACTTTTGAAAATAAATTGCCATAAGAAATCTCTGTAGACGTTGATAGTTGCAAGCCAAGTGGCAGATCGCTTCCACAAGTGCACAACAGGATTTCCACCAATGTGTTTGAGGTCCTGATTTAATAATATTTATAAATTTCAGTGTTGGAGCAGACACATTTTAACTAGGCAGTATGTCAGACAGATTAAACAAACTTCAGTATTTGGTAAATATCAGCCATGTGTCTTAAGTGCTATTTATTTCAACAGAACTAAGCTCAATTTTCTGCATAAAATTTGGTCTTCAGAGTTTATATATTTTTGTAGTTTGCTTGCTGTGACTTAATATAGCACTATTTGTTTGTTTTACAGGAATCTGAAGAATTTTTGTCCAACTTAGTGGTGAATAAGACCATCTTTGCAAAAGTTGATAGGCTGGCAGGAATTATCAACTTTCAGAGACCCAAGGACCCAAATAATTTACTCAATGACTGGTCTCATAAGCTCAATTCACTGATGGCGCTAGTTAACAAAACCACACATCTCATTGCTAAAGAGGAGATGATACATAACCTGCAGTAAGATGCCTCAGTAGCCTTAATGCTTTAGGGAGGCATTGGATTGGTCATAGAAAGAGACTTTACCCCACTGTATATCTGGTTTTTCATCTTTCCCTTCCAGGTGAAACTTAGAATGTAATCACTCTTGAAGAATTGTTGTCAATTAAGTTCTTTTGATTATTCATTTTGTTTATAACAGTTTTTTGCCACAGTGGATGGAAAAACCCAATAAAATTGTATTGCCTGTGTAATGGAAATGGCGTTTGATTATCAGTTTGTCCCTATCTATCCAGGCAATGTATTTGCCTGATTTCTCTTCCAGATATATGAATATGATGTAATATATTGTTTTATACAAAAATGTAACAAGGTGATTCTTTAATGTTAATTTTTCCTACATGAGTGTATCTAGAATTTCAAGCATGGCACTGAATTACTCTTGTTATTCCATGCTGTAGCGTGGTAGTTTTATAAGAGAATGTGATGGCATGGAGTGGGCCGTAGTTTAATTTCTATTCCGATGCATACATGTATATCATTTGATTTGTATTTACTTACTGCAGTAATGCTTAAGTACTTCTACCAGTAGCTCACTTTATTGTGTTGCAGATGGCTCAGCATGTCTTGATAAAAGGAACTATCCAGACTGTTTCAGTTAGTCTCTATGATTTTACAATGAAAGCAGAATGTAAATAAGGCAAGCTGTTTTTTTTCCCCATCTTCTAGACTTAAATAGCCGTGTGGCTTAACCTGTGGTCCTATAAATGTCTCGAATTTAAGATTTCCAACTCCACAGAAGGGTTCATGTCATTTTAAAAAAAAATTAAAGTAGACGAACCATGTTGCAATGTAAATCCTGTCATTTCCATATTACATTGAGGAGATTTTTTTTAAATCCGGGGGGGGATCAGAAGGGAGTATGTGAAGAATCCTTTGTAAAAGCTGCTCCTGAGGGTCAGTGTGGATGGGCCTGGTGCAGAAGAGGAACGGATGGAACTGCCAAGAGAAGCAGCAGGCAGGGAGCTGTCACAACAACGATCATACATAAGATGTGATGTCGATACTTTGCCCACATATGGTTACCAGTTTTCCCCAAGAGTACCTGTATGATGTTCTACTGTGTATCCCTCCACTGCTGTAGCACATGATGTGGCATCAAGCCCAGTAAATGCTTCAACTGCCTGATTTATATACCGTTTTCCCGAAAATAAGACCTAGTCTGAAAATAAGCCCTAGTATAATTTTTCAGGATGCTCGTAATATAATTCCCAATTAAGTGAAACTCCGTCTAGTACTATTGTGCAGCAACCAGAAGATGACATGACTGTATTTGAATAAATGTAGATTGCTGTATATGAAAAAAAAAAAAAAACATCCCCTGAAAAGAAGCCCTGATGCCTTTTTTGGAGCAAAAAATAATATAGGATCCTGTCTTATTTTCAGGGGAACATGGTACATGGGGTATCCAGAAAGTTAATAGGCACGTGCTTCTTATACCCTTTGTTCCTTTGTCTTTCCTTGATTTGCTTGAAAATTTTCTTTTTCTTTCAAAAATGTGTGATTGATTCCACCATGCAAAATTTGCACATGGTACATTTCATACTGGTCTGTATTCTATTATGCATTCTATTAGTTTGTCTGGTTTTTTTGAAACAACTTGTTGGCCCCTAGTGCCATAGCTCACTGCATTCAAAAACAACCCCAATGTCCGGGCAAGGATTTTCATGGCACATAGGCACACGGTTAGTCCATTCCTTTCCACTGGTAGTACGTGCCATCAAATCACCTCTGACTCATAGCAAACTACAATTTCCAAAATGTCCTATCTTGTACAGCCCTGCTCATCTCTTGGAAAATCAAGACTGTGGGAGTCAATCCATCTCATCTTTTCTTTTCCTGCTGGCTTCAGTCTTTCCCAGGAGTACAGTATTGTATTTTCCAGCAAATCCTTCCTTCACGTTATGTGCCCAAAGTATGACAGCTTCAGTTTCAAAATTTATGCCTCCAGATAGGTTGCAGGCTTGATTTGATCAAGGACCAACTTGTTTGTCTTTCTGGTAGTCCAGGGTATCTGCAAATGTCTCCAGTACTGTACTTCAAACAAATCAATTATTTTCCTGTCCAATTTCTTTACAGTCCAGCATTCACACCTGTACATGCTGATCAGAAATACAATGGTGCCCCGCATGACGATGATAATCCGTTCCATAGAAATCGCTGTTTAGCGAAAATATCGTCTTGCAAAAACATTTCCCCACTGGAATGCATTGAAACCCATTTAATGTGTTCCAATGGGGAAAAATCGTCATTTTGCGAAGATTGCCCATAGGGAAGCCATTTTGCGAAGCGCCAATCAGCTGTTAAAATGGCTGCCCTGCGAAGCATCGGTCCCAACAACACCCGTTTTGCGAAGCGCCAATCAGTGTTAAAATCGTCGTCTTGTGAGAAACGATTTGCGAAGCAGGGACCCAAACATCATCCAGCGAAAATCGCCCATTAGAATCACTTTTGCGAATCGCTATAGCAATTGCAAAACCTCATTGTCATGCAGATTTGTCATTTTGTGAAGTCGTCTACCGAAGTACCACTGTACAAGAATGTGGTTGATCTTGATCTCCTCACTCTTGATGATCTCTTCTAATTTTTTTCCATTGCTGCCCTTCCTAGTCTTTCTTCTCATTTCTTGGCTGCAGTCTTTGTTTCAATTGATGACTGAACCAAGCTATAGGAAGCTGCAGGTTCTTCATAAGATTTCAAAGGATTATAGGTTAAAGCAAAATAGAAATAAAATGAAGTGGGCTTGTCCATGGAACTTAACATTAAAAGGCGATAAAAATTAGTCTTTAAGGTGCCACCATGTTTTTGTTCTTTTTTGTTCTTTTTTTTCTATTTTGCTGTTACCCATAATGCTTGAACAGACTAACATGGCTACTTCTATCTCTTCAAAGGAATCTGTTATCCTTTTATAACTTCTGTATAGGTCTTCAGTATATTGTTTTCACCTTTGCTTTATTTTCTCTTGGTCAGATAGTGTGCTTCAGGATTCTGATCCTGTTTTTTGTTTTGGTTTTGCTTCTCATCTGTCCTTAGCAATTTTAAATGTTTCTTCCATCATCCATCTTAGTTTTTTATTTTGTTTTTACAACAGTGTCTTTTTGCATTATTTCCTAATATATCTCTTATTTCAATCAACGGATACTTTCTGGTTCCTGAGTTTAGTAATGCAAATCTGTTTTTTATGTGGAATTCATCAGAAATGTTTAAATTTAAATTACATTTTGGCACTAGAATTCTTTTAGTTCTCATTTCCAGCTTTCCTCTAATGTTTATTACTAAGAATTCATAATCAGTACCACAATCTGCTCTTGGTCTTGTTTTGGCAAAGATACAGATTTTCCATCTCCTGCTTCTTAATTATGTAATCTATCTGATTTCTATATTGACCATATGGTGATGTCCATAGGTATATTTGTCTGTTCCGTTGTTTGAAGTATGCATTTGTGACAAACAAATTGTTGGCTTGACAGAACTCTATGAGTCGTTCTCCTGCTTCATTTCTGATCCCTAGGCCAACATTTGGTTCTGCTTTGTTTCCTACTTTTATGTTCCCGTAACGTATGATTATAAACATGTCTTGTTTTGATGTGTGATCAATTTCCTCCTGGATGCTTGCATAAAAGCTTTCAATTTCATCTTCAGCCTTAGTAGACAGCATACACTTCAATGATGGTTATGTTGATAGGTTTTCCCACAAGTCTGCTATATATTATTTGGTCAGATCTTGCACTATAGCCCCTAACTGCATGTGATAATCTTGCCTCAGTATTAGAGCCACTTATTTTCTTCTGATTCTTTTTTCATTTCCAGAGTAAAACACTTTGTAGTCCCATTTCAGTCCACTTTAGTTCACTGAGACCTAGCACTGCAAAGTTTAAACATTCAGTTTCTTGCTTTATGGTTTCCAGTTTACCTTGATTCATACTTCTCATTGGACATGGGGGTATTTGTATTCGTATATGAATACCGCCTCCACAGGTGGACATAAAGAGGGCCTGGCCTCCTGGGGTTGGACTGTCCACTCACCATCTGCTGCCGCTGTACTCCCTTCATATCGCTCCAGAACTCACAATTGATTAGCCACTCCTGGCAGGAGGCGGGATGATGAGCCTCTTCCAGTTTGAAGAGTGGCTCACCGACTGGGCACTCCAGAGCGATAGGAAGGAAGCGCGGAGCCCACAGCAGCAGCAGATGGTGAGTGGACAGTCATTATGTCCACCTGTGTGTGTGGGGTATTCGTATACAACTACCCTCATCTCTACTTCTCATGTTACATGTTCCAACTGTGTTCTGCAGCATCAGACTTTTCTTTCACCTCTGCACATCTAATATCCATTAGATATTCTTTTGACTTTAAGCTGCATCATTAGTAACAGTGCTATTCCTACTTGTCCTTTTTTCTTCCCCAGTAGCTGACAGTATTTTCTGACCTAAGAGTCTCAGCTTCCAGCATTATTTCCTTTCATTTTGGACTGCGTCATCATAAGGTTTTCAAGGTAAGAAAGGTTCAGCACCAGTTTACCATTATCTTCTGTGCAGCACTAACAAATGTTAGCTTGAGTGTTGCTACCCTTGTTTGTGAAACAACCTCCACCAGCATCACCTTCAGTTACTGCTGCTGCCGGGTAGCTGCCCTCCAGAAATTTCTCTGCTCTGATCACCATTGGAACTATCCATTGCCTTCTGCTGATGCAGCCCTTACCCTGAAAACGGTGGCTGTAGCTTTGTCTGGTGCCCTAGCTGTGAACATTCTGCCTTAGATGACCCTGCTAGGAGTCCAGCTTTATATAATAGAGCCTAGCGAAAGGTTTCATTGGTATTTTATGGATTCAAGAAAAATACTGTATTTCTGTACAGGTTCTGTAGATGTCTTCTGTGATGGAATAATTTGCTGAAGTTTATATATACATTGGTTTGTCAGAAGGGTTACTGTGATGGAATAATTTGCTGAAGTTTATACTGTATATACGTTGTGTTTGTCAGAAGGGTTCGTGACTTCTGTGATTAGTGTCTTCACAGTTTCTCATAAAATAGATGCAAAGAAGTTGTTGTTTCAACTTATATACAGCCCCATAGTGCTGAAGCATTTTCTGGACAGTTTACAACAGAACTATACAAGCAACATTTAGATACAAGAAGTATCTTGTATTTTCTACCACTTGGTTTAACGTAGATAATCGTGCATGATCCAGGTGTGCTTCAACTGTAACTCCCAGAAGCCTTCATCACTAGCTGTGCTCGCCAGAGTTTCTGGGAGTTGCAGTCCCAGAACACCTGGGTTACCCAAGGCTGGAAACCACTGTGCTAGCAGTGCTGTGTCGCAGACATGCTTCTTTTTTGCAAAAGGATGCAAGGACTTAATGTAAAGAGGATTTACTTCTGAACAGATGTGTAGGGTTGCACTAGAACTGTGGATTGATGCACAGATGAGACAGCCTCCAGAACTTGTGAGATTCAAAACTCAGTACAACTTCAGGAATGGGTGTTTGAATAGCATCCTAGTACAGTACTTTGGTTTGTGAGGCAGAAAGCCTTATAATTCTTCAGGTTGTTTCCATGGTATCAAACTGAAACCTTTGCATGGATTACTCAGATGTAAGTCATATTTAGTGCAGTAGGGTTTACTCCAATAACAAGTGTGCAGAGGCCACTGTGAGTATGCTCTCTCCATTATATTTGCTTCCTTGACAAGCACTTATACTTAATCAAAACACAACAATGTATCATAAAGGAATTGGCAGTGCATACATTCTGACATTTTGTACTTCATGCAAACCTTGGAAATAAATAGAGGTTAAGTCCAGCCCTCTTACTTCCATGAAATTGTATGACATATTGGATAGTATCATGACTTGGAGTGTTAGGCTTAAAATTAGTTCATTAATATTGATAATCAGAGGTGGGGAATTTATTGTCAATGTGGGGAGCAGTGGAATTTAATACATTATGTTATCCTTAATTAATCTCTTAATTAAATCATTCATTTTAAAGAAAACTTATAACATAGCAACAGTTACCACACTTGCTTTTAGCACCACATTTTTGTTATTGCCTCCCTGACACACACACACCCCAGTTTTTAAGCTGCCTTCTCCAACCTGTTTTTTCCCATATACTCTGGGCCACAAATCCTACAATCCAACTAATAGCATACTTTATAGTGCTAAGGGACCTGGAAACTTACAGTTTGGGGGAAGTTGTCCTACAGCATGGGATCTAACAAGGTGTTCATTTACATTTTTGACAGTGTACTTCCTTCTTTGCATTGCTGCCACTATATCTGCTATTCACTCATCTTTCATACCCCATGGACAGTTTCTATGGATTGGAAAAAGTGAATAAGGAAAGGTGTGGACAATTCTCATTACAGTACAAGAGACTGCCATGTACAAGTAATTAACAACAAAAACAATTTGATGAATCAAGGGTGGACAATTAAAACAATTAATAAAAAGATACAAAGTTAGCAACTATACCAAAAGTACAGCTAAACATAAACACACAATAAGTTTCTTCTGTAGTAATTTTGACTTTGCACCTCTAAAGAGCAGCAATTCCCTTTTTAAACTGAATTTTCAAGCTCATGGAAATACTGGGTAAAGAATTCTTAAATCAGAAGTACTGTATTTACAGTGTCTCTGAGCATATGCAGAACATTTTTCTGCACTACAGAACCACTACATTCTCTGCCACCCACTTTGAATCAGGAAGCTTGGTACAAAAAGCTCAATGTTAAAGCACAGGTTTTGCATTTATGTCCCCAGTCAAATTCCATTTCCTGCTGTGTCCTGTTTCCTATAATCCTTGCACCTTCTGAGGCCCTGCTACCCTTTCTTTCCGAGAGAGAAACATAGTAAAACAGGACATGAATCTGCACTTAACTGAGATCAACTAATGACTTCCAAGCTCTGATAAGGAGTGCCCTTGCCCAACAGGTTAACTTGTTAAGTCTCATTGGGTAAACTGGTTAACTAGTAATTAACATGTGACTAATTAACTAAAACAAAGGTGGATTTTGTACAAGAACTATATCGTTTTCTTTTACATTTACTTCTTCTGTTCCAAGCTCTTACTGTGCAATATATCACTTCTGGCATGCTCCTTGTAGGAAATGGTTACTCATTCATACAAATTTGTACAGGCAGAGGTAGGGGGTTTCTGAAATAAGAAAACAGAGTTCATGTGTGCAACACAAGTTATCCCCTCTTATGGTTCCTCCAACATTCTCAAGTAACATGAGCTGCATCTGCCTCAAACAATAGATGAACTCCTGTTGCTAAGCAGAGTAAGGCAAAACTAGAGTAGGCTCACTAAATCACTGGGTACTTGGTGAGTCAACACTTACATAAGTTCCATTGATTCAATAGTCCTACTCTAGTGACAACTTATTTATTTACCTTATATGCTGCCCACACTACCCAAAGGCCTCTGGGCACCTTACAATTCAAATACAGTAAAAAGATAAAACGATTAAAATATAATTAAAAATACAGTGCTCTAAAAATTGCCATCAGGAATCACACTTGATATTATTTCAATTAAAAACCTTCCGGAACAGGAAGGGTTTGATCTGGTACCAAAATGTCACCAACGTTGGCACCAGATGAATCTCCCTCAGGAGAGTGTTCCATAGTTTGGGGGCAGCTGCCGAAAAGGCCCTTTGTCTACAAGCTGAGCCACCTCCTTGAGGGACAGCTCTTTCAGGAGGGCCCCCTGCCTAGATCTTAATTGCCTGGTAGGTTAATATGGAAGGAGGTGATCCTTCAGGTATCCAGGGCCCAAGCCGTTTAGGGCTTTACACAGCAAAACAAGCACTTTGAATTGGGTCCAGGCAGCGACTGGTAGCCAATGTAACTTAAATAGAATCGGCCTAGCATTCCCTAGTGGCTCCACCACTCACCAGCCATGCAGCTCAGTTCTGAACCAGTTGCAGTTGCTGGACTGTCTTTAGTCCCATGTACAGTGCATTGCAGTAATCTATATGGGGTGTTACTAGTGCATATGTAACTGTCATGAGACTCTGCTTGTTCAGGTAGGACTGTAGCTGGTATAATTTCCGTAGCTGAAGGAAGGCGCCCCTGGCCACCGAGTCCACCTAGGCTTCTAGAGTTAGACTGGGGTCCAGGAGCACCCCCAGGCTGTGGACCCTGTCCCTTAGGCGGAGTGTAACCCGATTCAGGGCAGGGAAATAGCCCTCCAGCCTGTCCGGTGAAGCACCCACTAACACTTCCGTCTTGTCTGGATTGAGTTTCATTAACTCTCATCCAGTCCATTATCAGGTTCAGACACGAGTTCAGCACAGAAACTGCCTCACCTGGATTGGTGGAAAGTGAGAGGTAGAGCTGAGTGTCCTCAGCTTATTGCCCAAACCTCCTGATGACCTCTCCCAGCGGTTCCATGCAGATGTTAAACAGCATGAGGGACAGTATCGAGCCCTGAGGAATCCCATGACATAAACGCCATAGGGCAGAGCAACTGTCTCCCAGAGCCATGGGGCAGAGCAACTGTCCCCCAGAATCACCTTCTGGACACAGACAGCCAGGAAGGAGCGGAACCACCGTAAAGCGGTGCCCCCAACTCTCAACCCAGCCAGCCTATCCAGAAGGACACCAATGGTCGATGGTGTCGAAAGCCACTTCAGACATGGGATATTTGTACTGTACATGAATATCCTGTCCAAACAGGATTTCTGCTAATATACTGTGACTGCCGATGAATATAGTTTTATATATAATTGTTAAAAACTAAGCTATAAACAGCGTTGGGCATAACAGAAGGCTACTCTCCATATTCACCTTTCAAAAGTGGTGTTAATATTTTTATAAGGCCCAGCCGATACCGTGTCTATCTACATTTTTAAACACGAATAGGCGAAAGGCTGCCATAGCAGAAACCCAGGGCGCTACTCGGTCTCCTTTGCTCGCCCAACAAACACCAATACACGTTCGCCTTTCCGACGCCGTGTCCTGCAGGGCAGTTTATGGGATGGGCTGGGCTGGCGCCGATTCAATTCATGGAGCTCTTCCCGCACAGAGTCGTGTTTTTGGGTTTTTTTTGTCGTGCAAGCAAAAGGGGGCCGCTTTTGCGGAGGACTCAGGGGCCCCCCGGCCGACCCGATATTTTCTGCCCTTGACCGGGGCGGCGGTAAGCCGGGCGACTTTCCCGCCCGGGCGGCCCCTCAACTTTTCCCTCCCGTTCTCCTCAGGGCTCCTGGTGGGAGCGAAGCGAAGGCGGGGCGAGTGAGCGAGCGACCGTGAGGGAAGAGAGGGTGCTCTCTTTTCCTACCCACAATGCTTTGCGGGGACGTTGACAAGTGGATCCAAGATGGCGTAGAAAGTAATGACAGGTAAGTCAGGACTTCCCCATGCATTGCGATGTTAATTCGTTCGCAAAAATCACTGCAGAATGAAAATGTCGCAATGTGAAATAAAAAAGCCCATAGAAACGCATAAAAACGCGATTAATGCGTTCCTATGGGCTTAAAACTCACCGTTCAGCGAAGATCCTCCATAGCGTGGCCATTTCTGGTGCCTCTTAAGCGAGGAATCTGTCCCAGAAAACAGCGGGCGGCCATTTTGTTTATCTGGTGGCCATTTTGAAACCACCGATCAGCTGTTAAAAAATCATCACTTTGTCTCGGCCAGGGGGCTGCTAGGCCCCGGGAGAGGTTGCACGGTGCCGGCTACAGAAGGCCCCAGTGTCTGCGGAGGGGCCTGCAAGAAAGAGCAGCAGCAGCCGCTTCAGGGCTGTTTACAAGCAAGAGCCGGAGATAAGCGCGCCCGCTTTGGGGTGAAGCGCCTGGAGGGGCCGAGCAAGCGGGGCGGCTGCGGATCGGGACCGCGTGCGAAGCCGGCGAGTCTGGAGAGTTGGCGTTGCCTTGGAACGGTTTGCAAGGGAAGGAAACAAAACTTAACACGGATGGGTGGGGTAGATGTAGATGAGTGATGATTTCTTTGCTTTCCCTTTTTTTTTAAATCCACGAAATATGTGCGTGTGCTTTTAAGCCAAGCAAATAGGGAAGCTTTTAAAGGGCGGGGATAGTTAAAAAAAACCGAAGGAAAAAAACACACAAAACTCCTGATGATCGCATGGGTCAAGTCTTTGCGAAATTGAGAAGGCGAACTACAACTCCCAACATACCTACGCCTGCTCGGCGAAACAGCACTGTTGCCATCAAGAAAGTTGGGGAGTAAATGCTAGAAGGATCGATTGTTTATTTGGATGAAGAGACGTTTAAGGGGCTAAGTAATTCAGGGGTGACTTGAAAGGAGAGCTGGGTGGTAAGAGGCAGTGCTCAGATCCGTGGCTAGGTTGGTTAGAAAATATTTTCTAAGATGTTAATGCAGATAGTTTAAAGAGCTAACGATTAAAAGTACAGTAATAGTAGGCTTAGTAACTGACATGCCTTTTAAAATCAACTGCCTGGTGGAAAATTATTAACTATGGTTATCCTCCCTTCCGCCCTAGAAATGGGATCTTGGCTGAAAAATATGGATGGAAATGCATTTGGGCAGTTAGTTTTTCAGATGGAAAAAAACGTGTGTGTGTGTATGTGTGTGCCAGTCTTAAGCCTTGTTTTGGGGGTGTGGTCTCAATACAGTTGATTTTCAGCAGTTTGATTTCACTTTGAAGTATTTTACAACAGGATCTCATTTTTTTTTAGCATCACACACTTTTACTCACAGTGTTTTATGCTGAGAGATAAGCCTTGTTTAAAAGCGCACACACATATTTCAGACATTTTAAAAAAATCATAACTCTTTGAGTTGCGGTGGCTCAAAGAATCCCAGTGGGAACCATTAAAAAATCTTGGCACCAAACTTCTCAAGAATTTATGCAGTTTACCACCAGAAATAGATATTCTCTGAATGCATTATTTTGAGTGTGTACTGCAAACATTAAAAAAAAAAACATCCAGTAACTTAGGTGAAACCTGTGCTAGAGAAATTGCATACATCTGCATTGATTTTTCACTATAGTATTAACATTAATTCACCTTTGACTTTAATCTCCATAATAAAAGTATCATTATTGACTGGACATATTTATAGCCTGTAAGCCCTAAACGGCTTGGGTTTAAGTTATCTAAAAGACCATATCTCCCTTTATGAACCTAACCAGGCATTCCATCATCAGGAAGGGCCTTTTTCTTAGTCCCACAACCCCCATAGCTGTGTTTGGTGAGGACATGGGAAAAGGCCTTCCCTGGAACTCCCTCCCATGGAAGGCTGGCGGCTGGCAAGATCTCCACTGTCCTTCTGCAAGCAGGCAAAGACCTTTCTCTGTAGGCTGGCCTTCCTAAATGATTGGTTTGACTACGGGGAATTTTTTTTAAAAAAAGAGAATTCTGTGTTTTTATTGTATTTTTAACATTGTTCTTATTACAAATTTTAATATACTTATTAAATCCTTTTAAAATTTTTATAATTTATTTTTTGGCTTTTAATGTTTGTTCTTTTAATACTGTAAACCACTATGGAATCTTTAGGAGAAAGGGGGCATATAAATATTTTAAATAGGTAAATAAATAAGATCACAAATGTGGGCAGCTAGTTGAAAAGTGCTTCCTCTTATGCCTGCAGTTGTCAGTTATCTAGGAATGCCTGAGTTAACTCAGCAAGACTGTTTTCTACAGTGTAATATATACGCCAGATAAATGCCATTTTATCTGTTCAGTACAACTTAAAATCAAAACCATAGGGAGGCAGCAGATGGATTAGTGATTGCTCATCCTACTAACTATATTGTAAAATGTTTACAAATTATTTATTTCTTTTCTTTATGCAAAGTGGAAATCTGTTTTTAGAGAATAAATGTATACTTTAGAATAAACATTTGTTTCTCTATTCTAATTCTAAAAATTAAAGAAAATTAAGCTTTCTAAATATTTTATTTGAGCAGAGTGATAATTTTTCTAAATAGGTCTTGACAAAATAATTGTTGCAGAAAGCTCCACCTTAAAGCCTAAGATGCAACTGATAGAATTTCTTCACTGTTCATGAACCACTACATGCTCTGATCTTTTTGCTGTGTACCATGGCAGCTTCCTTTCTGTTACCAATAGTCTAGTGAGTAATTTATTTTTTGGCTTTTAATGTTTGTTCTTTTAATACTGTAAACCACTATGGAATCTTTAGGAGAAAGGGGGCATATAAATATTTTAAATAGGTAAATAAATAAGATCACAAATGTGGGCAGCTAGTTGAAAAGTGCTTCCTCTTATGCCTGCAGTTGTCAGTTATCTAGGAATGCCTGAGTTAACTCAGCAAGACTGTTTTCTACAGTGTAATATATACGCCAGATAAATGCCATTTTATCTGTTCAGTACAACTTAAAATCAAAACCATAGGGAGGCAGCAGATGGATTAGTGATTGCTCATCCTACTAACTATATTGTAAAATGTTTACAAATTATTTATTTCTTTTCTTTATGCAAAGTGGAAATCTGTTTTTAGAGAATAAATGTATACTTTAGAATAAACATTTGTTTCTCTATTCTAATTCTAAAAATTAAAGAAAATTAAGCTTTCTAAATATTTTATTTGAGCAGAGTGATAATTTTTCTAAATAGGTCTTGACAAAATAATTGTTGCAGAAAGCTCCACCTTAAAGCCTAAGATGCAACTGATAGAATTTCTTCACTGTTCATGAACCACTACATGCTCTGATCTTTTTGCTGTGTACCATGGCAGCTTCCTTTCTGTTACCAATAGTCTAGTGAGCTACTCATAAATTTTCATGTTTTCCTTCCATTTTTCAGAATTATTATAGTACAGAAAGTTTAAGTCTAATATTCAGTGAATTGAAGGCCTTAATTGTAGCACAATTGGTTGTATAAATAAGGCCTTTTTTTGCAATGATGTTTCATGTTTAGATTTATTGGAAGAAAATTACAACAGTACATGCAAATATATGATGGAAAATAATAGTTTGTGTGGTTTAATTGGTGTAGAGCTGTGAATTAGGAAGTTGTTTCTGAGCTATTCCACAAAGTTCAGTTTGCTAATAAAAATTGAGTGTCATCAGTTTTGCATTATGGTGGCCCTTTTTCACAATTTTTCTAATCAGAGAATATTCAGAAATGGTTTACCATTCCCATCTTCTGGGGGCATCCTGGATTGTGCAGTTTGCCTAGAGCCAAACAGGCTCATTCTTATCCCTGGAGTCACAGTGGAAAATTGAACTCCTGGTCTCTGTCTCTGCAGCCAAAAACCTAACTCGCTGAGCTGTCCAGTCAGTTATAAAACTGTTACCCTGAAGCAAATATGAGCAGATATTTTGCACAAAAATGTGCACGTACCAGCTGATAATTGCTCTGTTTGAGAGCTTACATGCAACGTCTGCTAAATGACTGACACTCACCTGTTATGCTGAAAATATCTATTTGTGTTTCTTTGCGGTTAACATTGCAGTTCACAGTACTGCAAGCACCTGTAGAATTTTTCAGTGACAGGCTTGGAGGAAATACATTTTTGTTTGTTCAGAGCTAGTCCTTTGCTGTTACATTCCCACAGCTTTTTATAGGTGTCTCCGTGCTTTAAATAGAGGATTTAGAGAAAGGACACAAATGGGGCATACAAATGTTAGTGTCTTCAAAATTGCTGTCTTTCCCCCAAATATTACGGCTTGGTGTTATTTCAGGAAGGAATTTAACTAGCTGCTTTGCAGGTATAAACAAGTGAGAGGAAAGATTCCTTTTCAGATACTGTACAGCACAGTACATGGAGGCTATGGGGACTTGATTACTCAAGTATTGACTAAAATTATATGTTAAAAATACATTAAATAGTGTATCAATTCAACTGGGAATCAATCCTCAGTTTCTGCTGTTCTTGATTCTTGCTGATGCCTAGTGCATTTGGCCTTTAAAAAAACTGTAGTGACCCTTTCTGATTTAGTTAAAATAGGCCACACAGTTTTTAAATTTTATGTTGGATGACATTAGCTTACAATATAAATGACTTAGGTATAATGTGCAAAATCCTGTTGTGTAACTTTGTGCCAGCATAACTTTGATTGGGCTCCAGAAACTTTTAATTTAAACTCATGTCAAGTTCTTCATTCCCTCCTTTTCAGGTTTTGAGACTCCCAAAGACTCCCTTTTGCCCTGGAGAAGCACTTGAGAGTTTCAAGGCATGGGGTGGGAAACCCTTTGATGGTAAAAAAACAAATATTGCTGCCTACAGTCCTGATCCTGATGGTGTTTATTTTTACTATTAAAGTCTCCCCGCCATCCTGAGACTTCCCAAGACTTTCCCAGAGCAAAAGGGCCCTAGTGAGCCTTCAAATATGAAAGAGGGATAAGAAGCTTGCTATGAGTTTAACTTAAATGTTTTTAGTGTCTGA